CTGTTTTGTTTTTAATTGTCTTTCACTTCTTAAGTGAAGAAATCTCAGTTTTAAGAGGAAAGTTCTCACATTTCCTCCCAGCAGTCAGAGTGTTACTGGAAACCAGTGAGTGTGTGTGAGCTGATCTGGTGCTGCGTTCACTGACTGGGACTAAACGTGGGCGCAGCGGTTCTTCGTGTTGCTGTCAGAATAAAAACTAAAACTAAAGATGAATGTAAACAATATTTTGTACAACATGTAGACTAAAAAAACCTTTAAATTAATTTACGTATTTAAAAAACGGAGAAAACCTGTTTTTCATCACTTTGTTCGCGTACGCAGACTCTTCATGTTGGTGCTTTTGTTCCCCTGAATGCAGAGTTTAAACCTGCTCTGAACTTTTAACGATGCCCAGTTTAACTGTGACATTAATTCAAACTACAAAGAAAATCTTAAACAGGTAAACTTGCTCTGGAAACTAATTTAAACATAAAAAGTCTCCGTGCTGGAGCTCTGGATTAGACCGGCTCCGTCGGGCGTGGTCTCCAGACTTTGATTATTTTAGATCCAAAGCTTTGAAAAACCAAACCAAGTAAAAAGCAAGAAGAATTATTTTTTTAAGTAAGACTGAAAAACCTTCCTGAGTTTACCTGAAGTTCATCCTGATTTCAGATCAATGATTCTGATGCATCAGATTGTCTCATGTGTTTAACACGTGGATCGCCTCATTTCAGGACAAAGATTACACACCTGGTAACAAAGAACTGCTGTTGCTCCAGATGTGCAGTCATACAAATACCTTATACTCAGGCTTTGATCATCAGCTCAAGCTCAACATGACCATGAAGTCCATCATAAAACAAGGTTTAGATTCTTCCCACAGAGCAGAACACAGATTTGAGTATCTGAGCATCTCCAGGTTCATGATTTAGTCTAAAGTTATGAATCAGCACATCTGAAAGATCGATAAACTGCACACGTTTTTATGTCCAAACTCCTCCTCATATCATATCATCTCATTTAATCCTGATGATCCAGAACGTCAGAGATATTTATTTTTCCTTTCAGCCTCTGAGATCTGAGAAGAAGAAATCAGAACATGACTTCCTATATATTGTTCAAAATATCAGGTTCAAATTTCTCATTATTAATTTTGACCAATTACAGTTCGACCCACACAGGTGAGTCAAAGAGGCCACACCCCTAATAATGCAAATTTTAAGCCATATTCCAGGTATGTTGGAAACCATTCTTCCCCATACACTCGTGATATTAACTCCAGATGAATCGTTGAAGTCGTCTCCTGAATATAAAACGGTGTCATTAGCATATACTAGCATTAGCATAACTCTTCCTCTTATTTTTATTCTGTAACAAAAGTTTAATACAGCATGAAATTATCCATCGAGACCAAAACAGTTTTTGTTTCAGGCTACAAACGTGTTCTGCTATAACGTTGGACATTTTAAATGCAAGTCTATGGGGATTGACTCACTGCTGCACTCTGCTGGATGGTAGAGGAACTGCAGTTTCAGTCAGCAGGAAGATAACTCACCTGTGTGGCTTTTCAGGCTGTAAGATTCAGGATTAAAGCTGAATTTGTCTTTATGTGTCCTCAGATCTCTGCGTGCTGGTGATTGATCTTTGAGGTGTCTTTGAAGACTGTTGTTGATCCAGCTGGGAGTTCGGATCAGGTGCTGCTCAGCCAGGTTGCACGATGAGCTCGGCCTTCTCTCCTTCGTTCATCGAACAACGATCTTCGAACCTGAGCTTCGGCGTGTCTCCGCCTGCCGGACTCTCTGAGGATCACAGCATCTCCCAGCACTCGGACTCTCTCTCCAACTCCGTCCCCTTCCTCCTCTACCCGTCCGGCATGGACCCCACCGGCCTCGGCCTCTACAGAGGTCCTCTGAGGGGCCCTGGCCCTGGGATCCTGCCCTATCTGACCCCCTTTCACCACCACGGACACTTCAGCGTCTACGAGTGTCCATTTGAGCCGGCATTCATCCAGAAACGAAATGAGCGGGAGCGTCAGAGGGTAAAGTGTGTCAACCAGGGTTACGCCAAGCTGAGAGACCACCTGCCAGGTCAGAGTGCCGACAAGCGCCTAAGCAAGGTGGAGACGCTGCGGGCCGCCATCAGGTACATCAAATATCTGCAGGGCCTGGTGGAGCTGGAGGACACCAGGCACAGCGGAGGGGCGTCGCCCAGCACCTCGTCTCCGGGCCTAGACTGCAGTGCTGAGGCGGAGACCTTCACCTGCTAAACAACCACCATCAGGTCACGCTGAAGTACTCTTTCCACTGCCGGGTTCAGACTGCAGGACGCTTCTCGCATCAGCTGATTGAAGAGACAGCTGACATGCCGCTGTTCTTCACCTGTGTGATGGCATCAAGAAGGAGGAGCCAGGAGGAGAGTGGGAGTGGCCTCCATCAGTCAGGTGGATGCCGTGCAGTCTGAACCTGGCATCAGAGCTCGAGTTTATCAACAACCCTTTTGTTTGAAGGTGCAGCAGAAGCAGGAACACCACAATCCGTCCATCACCAGAACACGAGGAGCACGATTTGTTCCTCGCTTGAGTATCCCGCACACGTTATCCACATCGTTCCCAAAACTGGCATCCATCCGTGTCTGAACGAAGGCAGCAGGAAGTCTTCTTTATGTTCATCCACTGAACTCCTCATGGTCATGAGCGTTGGTGACCCGCCCCATCGTCACGTGACTCGTTAAGGGTCACATGGGTCCCAGTTTGATTGTGGATGGGTGAGAACTTTATGGTAACAGAGACGTGGATGCAGATGACCTTGGAAACATCTGTTTAATCAGAGTTTAATCAACTTCATTTTTCTGACATGGATAAAAGTGTAGATTTACAGGAGCAACATCGTAACAAAGTATAAGTACTGCATTAAGTACTTGAAGGTGCAGCAGGAATACAATTTTCAGGTATCTCTACTTTGAATATTTATTTTTCTGACAACTTTTTACTTTTACTCCCCACGTTTTAGCAGAAATATCTGAACTTTTTATTGGTTAATCTGTCAAACAGGCTCGTTACGTTCAGTTAAAGACATCTGGAGGAAGTTTATATTTCCAGATTCTTCCAGATTCTGAAACAACAGCACTTAAAGACAACCCTTTAGGTGTATCATACATGCATCAATTATATCGCTAAACTCAGGAGTTAAAGTGGGCCAGAAGGATCCA